TTACACATATTCCCTTGCCTACCACAACCTTTTCAACCACCAAATACACACCGTCCACCTCCCTTACGATACCTACCCACAGGCAACCACACCATGAGCGATATGAAGGCGGCTGCTGCCGCCTTCTACACATCGGCCTTACCATCCATTGCCACTGGCACTGAGCTGTCACAGCAACACACACCGGCGCAACTGAATGCCCAACAACAGATGCACCCAGGTGCATCGGGATCGGGCTACGCCCCGCAGCCGTACCCAGCGCCGAATGCACCTGGACTGAGAACCGGACCGGTCCAAGGACAAGGACAAGACGGGGACAACCCGCTGGGTTTAGGTGCACAGCAGCAGCAGCATCAGCAACAGTTTGTACATACACCCGGGCACTCGAATCACAGTACACCTGGAAATTTTGGACAAGACACGTTTGGGGCAGACTCACAGGCAGACGGAGCGCAGGGGGGAGCCGCTATAGGTAGCCCCTACACACACAACTTGCAGGGCACCCCGCAGCCGAGCATGCACACGCAGCAGATGAGTAGCCTTGCGTATAGCAGAGATAACACGGGGCCTCCTACATCGGTCAGCATAGGAGGGTCACCCGCGGGTCAGGAGGTTGTATCGCCAGTTGTTATGGGCACTCAGGTACGTGAGATGGGTCGCACAGACGGTGCGTGCGTGTGTGTGTGTGTGTATGGTGAACATGGGTGTGATATTAGTGTATGTACTATCTGAGTGATGTGTATGTGTCTTTGAATGCGTGTTTGTAGAGTGTGTGTATGTATGGTGAACATGGGTGTGATATTAGTGTATATGTTTTCGGTGTGAGGTGTATGTGTATTTTTATGTGTGTTTGTGGAGTGTGTGTATGTATGGTGAATATGGGTGTGATATTAGTTTATGTGTTATCGGTGTTAGGTGTATGTGTGTTTGTAGAGTGTGGGTATGTAGTGCCAACGCATATGCATGTGCATGTATATGCGTTTTTACAGAGGGGTGTGTATAGGTAGTCATAGCCTTCTGCACAGATAATATGGGGCCTCCTACAGCACCCAGTACAAGAGGGTATACCGTGGTATAGCCTGTCACGTGTAGGTATGTGTGATGTATTGCATAGGAACTGGATGTGCATATGTGCGGTGGGTGCCCACTTTTTATGTTTTCTGTCCAAATGAGGATGTCGATGTATATATATATATATATATATATATATATTGTATGTGACAAATAGAACATGTCTATGTTCTCATATAGATAAATTGTTTGTCTAAATGAATATGTCTATGTATATATATATATATATATATCGTTTGTCTAAATGAGTAAATAAACATTCACTAGACTTCATTGCATTTGCATGTGTGTGTCTGTTCATAATACTTCATTGTACTTGCATGTGCTTGTATATCTGCTCTGTGTGTGTGTTGTGTGTGTGTTGTGTGGGTGTGTTGACTTGACTTCATTGTACTTGTATGTGCTTGTATATCTGATGTGTGTGTGTGTTGTGTGTGTGTTGACTTGAATTCATTGTTGTGTGTGTTGTGTGTGTATTGACTTGACTTCATTGTACTTGTATGTGTTTGTATATCTGACGTGTGTGTGTGTTGTGTGTGTGTTGACTTGACTTCATTGTTGTGTGTGTTGTGTGCGTGTTGACTTGACTTCATTGATGTGTGTGTTGTGTGTGTGTTGACTTGACTTCATCGTGCTTGCATGTGCTTGTATATTTGCTATGTGTGTGTGTTGTGTGTGTGTTGACTTGACTTCATTGTACTTGTGTGTGCTTGTATATTTGCTTGGCACGCTTTACTGACGACGTACCATGTGGTGATGGTTTAGGGTTTAGGATTTAGGGTTTGAGTTTATAGTTTAGAGTTTAGGGTTCTGTACGTGTACGATGTTCCGGTGTGTACGCGTCCCCGCGTTACTTACTCAGCGGCGCGTATGCGTATCGTTTCCCCCGCGTTTTAATATGCGTGTAAGTGTGTATATCCGCCCGATACGTGGGCAACTACCGTAGACCTACCGCCTTCTCACTTTCCTACTATCCCAATTGTACAGAACATCTCTTCAGGACACCTGGACAATGCAGGCTCTAATGTGGGCGCTCTGAGCGAAGGTGGAGCGGGTAACAACCTTGGCAACAGTAACCATGACAACGAGACAAATAGTAGACGCGCATCGGCAGAGTCTTCCAATACCACTACCCAACCCAAGTATGTATGTCACTAGGTTACCTAACAGTGTGCATGAATGGCAATGAAGCACGTTTCTAAAGTAGTCGCGTACATACAAATAGATATGACTTCATCTCTATAGATATGACTTCATCTCTGGCGATGCAGGTGTAAAAGAAAAGCAACTGACGACGTACCATGTGGTGATGGTTTGGGGGTAAGGGTTTAGGGTTCTGTACGTGTGCGAGGTTCCGGTGTGTACACGTCCCCGCGATACTTACTCAGCGCTTGTGTGTGTGTATGTCTGTACGTACATCTTGTCTATATACTCACGCCCGATTTATCTGTTTATATCCCATCAATCCCTATTTTTCAATAAGTTCTGTTTCACTCTTTAATTATATTTAAAACTAATTTCAAAAATACAACCTCTTTTTAGCGCGACGATGAACCACAACCAGTTCGCAGCCCCGTTGTACCCTGGCTCGGCGTTTCCGACAATCGCGCCGTTGCAAATTATGTCGCAAATAGCCCCCGCGCCGGCCAATGGGAACCCACCAAGTACAATGCAGTACAGTCACATCCAACCCAATCCCAACCAAACCACCGCACAATCTCAATTTACGAAAGCACAATCGTTATCTGAGAATGGCCCAAGCACGGATGGTGGCATGAAAGACATTAAGGGTACGATATAA